TATAAACTGTTGTGCATTTGTAGTTTTGATGATTCCCACATCGGTGAACTTAAAAAATAAAAGAGCAAACTACTAAGGCCTCTTTGGTTCACACAATTTCGAAAACGTAGAAATACAAAAAACATAGGATTATATAATATTCTGGATATATGAATCCATGTATTTTGCTTTGTTCGATTGCTTCACGAAAGAGAAAAAATGATTACTTGCAATAAGTTTGAGTGGATGTTAAAATTCGTATGAAATGTATAAAAAGGGAATCCTTGGAGAAAATATCTCGTAGAATTCGATCCTACAAATAAGAGGACCAACACAGTAAATAGGACCACAATATCTGCTGGATGCTCTTCAGGAAAAGATGTCATTGAACGTTTTCTCTATCAATTTTAGTTATACAGGGATGGCATTTTCTTCATAAGAGGATGTCCGTTTTTTGTATATAAGGCAACTGCCACTGTGTGATTTTGGTCAGACGACTATGGAGGCGTTCTGTGGGACCTCCTCCCTAGGGAACGTAACAATACCGTAGAAAATATTCAAAAGGACTCCAATCATTTAAAGGGTAAAATTCCATGATTTAAAAATGGGGTAAAACTTAATTGAAAATCCAATCAAAGAGGCAATACAACGATAGAAAATCCATAATGATAATATCTCTCTTACGACACGAGTTGACACAGAGACGAAGGCGAACCAACAAGTGATTGGAGCTCACCAGGTTTCAATTCCTAGACTCGACACTGGTGCTCACATTTTTCTAGATTTATTCCAGGCTTTTCAATGATGTGCGTTCAGTGGGAGGAAATTTCTTCATCGATTACGAAGGCGTCTGTGGCAACTTTGTCTATATCAAAATGATGTGCCAGTTCAGTCTCTCGAATGTGGTCATAGGGATATGATGTGTGTGTGCGCTTGCGTTTATAGAGATGAGTGTATATGCGTATGTACGATAGAGAAAAATCAAAATTTTAAAACTGATAGAGAGTTTCGTATGGGAGTTCAATGTCATCTTTTCCTGGAGACGGAGAGTATGGGAGTTCCTGTTCCGTCGCTTCTTAGGGCGGTATGCACTAACTGCAGGCGTGCTTCTCTCATGTCATGTGGGGAAGTATCAGGTGATACCGGCCCTCAAATGCTCCCATGCTACTAGTTCAATTGTAAACTTTTTTTAAAAATATTCTAAAAAATCATGGATGTTCACAACACATGTTCAAATAAGCCCTATTCAGACCAAAATTCAAAATATACCTCGAGATACAAAAGAAAGAGAAATCCGTCATGAATAGTGCCAAAAGAAGATAAAAGCAGAAATGACACTATTCACATCTGAATTTGTCTTTTTTGTTTCTCTATGTGTATTTCAAATTTTGATCTGAAATTTTTAGGGGTTGTCGACATGTGTTCTGTGAACATTCATATTGTTTTCAGATTTTTTTTAAATGTTTAAATTTGAATTTTTCAAGTTGGTAGGATGGGAGCATGTGAGTGTTGGTAACTTGGTATCACTGGTTTTTTTTTTCCATGTCATGTGCACCTTGCTTGATGATGTGGCTCGCCTGCGCTTGATTGGACGCGGCACCATATATTCGTGCCAGTATTATCCTCTGCAACAGCCAAGCTGTTTCTCTCATGTTTACTTAATCCAATCCCACGACTAATAACACCTGCGTGTATATTCTAATATTGCCCCCTGTCCCGGATGCCATTTACTTAGTATAGATGTCTAGCTCGCTACTCCCTCCTTTCCGGTTTATAAGGCTTAATTTAAAAATCTCACCGACCAAGATAGATATTGAGTGGTAGAATATTTTTTATAGTTTGCAAAAGCACCCAATTAATGCTCTTGTTTTTCTCAAAAAAAATATGTTTACGAATGCATTAATTGCAATGCATGCATGCATAAAGTGCATGCATTGGTCATTTTTTTCTTAATACTTACATGCAATGATTTAATGCACCTTAAAGTCTGAACATGTGATGGGAAACAACCAAATTGAGCCTTATAAAATGAAAAAACTAAAATTTTAAGATAAGCCCTATAAATCGGAAAGGAGGGAGTAGTAGCTACTACTGCTAGTAGTACCTTGAGCAGAGGCTAGTCTTCTGTAACAAAAGCATCTGAAACAATCTTCTCGAAACAGAAGCCTCCTTTGTTTGGAGGCTTTTTGTGTGGAGAAAACAAGGCCTGTGCATGTAGTGTAGGCGAACCTACGAACAGCAACACAAGCAACGGAGCCGTAGAGAGACCCTATCCCTTCAACCTACACAGACCCGTACCGCGCGTGCACGCACGTTTGACCAAAATAGAACAGCTGAACAGCAGGGTGGCACGCAAAAGAATGCAGGCCGTGTACAGGGGGCAGAGACATCGAGACCCGAAAGCGCCCACAACAACAATCATGGCCAACTGCTGCCGCATTACTGTATGTTAATCAGTTCATTCATTCAATCGCGGCCGGTTTGGCGTTGGACGGGTCGCGGCTCCAGCTCCGATGGATGGCGAGAGCACCTGCATGCACCTGCTCGCGTTGGTAGCTGTTGCGGCTGCAGGTCTCTAGGGATGGGAGGGAGGGGAGGCCCCTTGAGACGGCAAAGGGCATCGCTGAAAAGGGTCCCTTGGTTTTGGGCGCTCGAGGTCGAGGGGACGAGGCTTCTCCCGCTGCGCGTGCGTGCATGTACTTGCCCACAGACCCATCCAGCATCGTAACCATATACAAAGCGGTCGAGTACTAGCCCTGCGTTTAGCTGTTCTCCCCGGGCTCAACCATGGCCCCCAGGCCCTGTCTGCCTGTCCCTCCGTCTCTAACAACTTGCCAAAACCAAGCTATGGCCATCTTAGAATGATTAGAGAGCCCCATCTTTCTGGCTAAGGTTGTGTTGTTGCGTGGAGAGTCAGGCCGAACAACTGACACTAGTGCCCCGACCTCCTAG